CCCCCGCCCTGGCTTCCCAACCAAGCCCCCCCCGCCGCTGTGACACCAGCTGACAACAAACGTCTCCCAGCTTCACACCAGGAATATTGGCAAATAGAGCAAGAGGAGAGAGAGACCCTGCGTGAAAGATAACGTGTGTGTATTTCTGCACCTTTAACAGAGCTTTTCCTTGATAAAACACGTGCAAGTGAAGCAGCAGTCTCCAGGCATGTAATCAACTTAGCCTGGCCACCAGCAGGCAACAATTCAATAAGTATTGGCGAACAGCACTGTGGGTAACCTGATTTGTAACTATTAAAATCACTTAGAAATAAGAGAACTACGTAGTGTCTTAAATGACTCTATCCCACCATTACTTTCAACAGGGATTTCTATGATTTCTATAAATGCGGTCCCAGATCTGTCAGCAATCAAAACCCATGGGATAAGATAATGAAAAGGAAATAGTCCATCTGTTTGAGTATGAACTGAAGCCTACATGCAGCTGAAGAGCACAGAAGTCAAGTCCAAGATCTGCAAAGCTGGATACGAGACCTGCTAGGGTGGTTCAGCGATTCGCCTGTCACTCAGCAAGGTGCACTGAAACCAAACAGCTGGGTATTTCAACAATTACCCCGAGCCCCGCTAAGACTCAGATGCAAGCTCTGGCACGAAGCCTTTCCTTAATTTTAAAACTGATCACATGGAAACATTTTAATATCAGTCTTTTCGTGGTTTAGCCCATACCCTGTCCCCGAGAAGCGCAACTGTTCCTCCCCACCATGTTACGCCATTGTGTAGAGGCTGACCTGACAAACTGGGAAAGGTTAGCAGGATGGCACTTTAAAGTTTCGCGCATCCCAAAGTGCAATGCTCACAAGAAAAAACTCCAGCAATATGTTTTAAATTACACTGGAAATCTTGCTAAAGGCTTTTGTGGCTGATATCTGTAGGCTCTCAGTGCTTGTATCACAGCCCGGGAATGGTTACGAATATTGAAATGTTTCTCAAGTGGAAACTGCGGTGTACATTTGGGATTTGAGTGCTGCAAGGTTCCAGGTGACCCAGAGTAATGTGCAGTCTTGCAACTCTTTTTACCTGGCCATTTGAGAGCTTGCACAGGCTATTTTGTCTTTGCACATAAAACCAGGTAAAACAATACTGTGTACTGAGTGCAAATTTATCATCCAAACAAACAATTTCTTGATGATAAAGGTGCTCTTACCCACCTTCTGCAACTGAGGAATACAGTAAGAACAAAGTTAAGTGATTCAATATGACTACAAAGAAAGCTAATTAGCCAGGTTTGGAATGCAAACACAAACACCAAATTGCAGAGTGGTCCAGGCTGGTGCGGACGGCCAGAGGTCTTGAGCCCAGCCTTCTGCTCAGAGCCAGGTCTTCTGTGAGATCAGACCAGGGTGCTCAAGGCTTCACCCAGCCAGGTCTTGAAAACCTCGAAGGATGGAGACTCAAAACCTCTCTGGATACCCCTATTGTTAAACTGTTCTAATGGTGGAAAAGTTTTTCCTTCTGTCATACTGGCAATTTTGTCATTCCAGCTGGTCTGGTTCTTACCCTGCTCCTTCCCTCAGGCTATTTATCCAGACCCTGTGACCAGAGACCACGTCAGCAGCACACAGCTTCAGGGGCAGGCAGCCAATGAGGAGCATGTAATGAGCCCCGCACCTTCAACAGCAGCCTTGCTTACACCATTCACATGGAAGGTCCAAACTGCCCTGTGATACTCCTAAAAATACAGGGCTTACTCCGTGCAACTCAAAATCCGCAGTCATGTGAAAAAAAAAAAAAAACTGCAAGGAACTTACAATCACTGGAAGCATTAAGTGGCAAACTTTCTGCCCTAGCCACCTGCTGACATTTGCAAAGAGATTTTCACAGGGAGGAAATTCAGAAATGCACTTTAAAAAGAAAAAAAAGAAGACAGAAGGAAATTCAGCTTGGTCTTGATGTTCTGTTGTTCTCTAAAGCAGTGGGGACCTGCAGCTGCTTGTTTTTATAGCCCTCATTGGCCAGCTCTTGGTGCAAATGGTGGGACATACACATGGTGCAAATTATTTGTAACATGGGAATCGTGCTCTGTATTCCGTAAAAGTTGCAAAAGCCTAACCATGGGGAGCAGAAAGAAAGGAATTTATTCCACTAACGGAAAGGAAAGTGAAGTACGGAGTGAAAAAGGTTAAACATTTTGCTAGCTTGTCACAGTTAACATAAAATGGCATAGGAATGGGAGCACCACTTTCAAGCATTGTAGAAATGGCATAATGAGATTTTTTTATCAACTCTAGGAACCATGACCAAATAGATTATGATCTATGAAAGATTACCTTAAAATATCAAGTCTCTATCAGAAAGAGACCTATTTATGAAATGAACAGAATAACCAATACAAAGTGGCTATGTAATTCAAGACAAAAGCCCCCTTCACTGTACTTGCTTAAGCATTCTTGGCAAGTTGACATCAAAAGACCCACTAAAGCTGATCGGCTGTTACATTATAGTCACTTGCACATGAAAATGAACTGCTTGGCTGAAAACACCAGCACCCACTTTTGGGGACGTGACTCGGTTTGGCACAGAGAATACTACCCTGCAGTAGTTACTCTCAGCTTCAATGTAGCAGAAGGTGGATGTGGTTGTGATGGGAATCCACATGAGATAAAATGACTGCCAGCACTGGAAAAAAGGAGGGTTTCATGTTCTCACTGTTAACACACTACAGAGGGAATTCCTTTGGTACTTCCTTACTTCCTCAGTGCAGTGATGATGACATAGAAATTAATCACAAACATTAGGGCTGTTTGGGGCTCATCAAAATGATGTATCTATAGGACCTTCCTCAAGCACATCATCCAGCACAGCTTGATGAGGCAGTACAGGACGCAAAGACAGGCTGCTGGCAGCATGAGCAGCCCGATACCACAAGCGATTTCTCAGCCACAGGGGAATCTTACAGTGGAGAGAAACTGAATTTTGGCTACTGTTTCGCTAGAGTAGTACTAGGTACTCTAGAGGGCAAGGTAATCAGTAAATGCTCATTTAGGGCCTAGAGGCATATCATTCCAGAGGAACTTGTTCAAACTAAGTGGCTTTACACAGAAGTGGTCTCCCTCATCCCATTGTCATAGTTTTCAGTTCTATTTAGAGCCTCCCAGAAGAAAACAGAGATCAAGGAGTGAGAGGTAACAGTGAGATCATGTTTCAGGATCTCTTGAGCAGGACAGTACTTTACACTGGCTATTGGTTTCCAAGTCCCCAGTCCTGCTTCAAAACACAATAAAGCAAAATTTGAAACAGTGAGCAGAAGAGAAAGTGTTTTCTTACCAAAGTTTCCCAAGCTGATCTCTCTTGTATCTACTCGCATCTCTAGGGCCTTCACTTGTCGCAGATCATCTACTCCTGTCAAAACTTTCTGTAAAGGTAAGCAGAGATATATGTGTACTCTTATGCAATAAACCAGATGACACAGGAGCAAAAAAGGTGTAGAAAAGTTTTCAACCAGTGCTTTGTCAACATATACTACAGGTCAAAATGGCTAGATGTGCGGTAACACTGAAATAAATTTAGTATTCAAAGACCTTTCTTCCTTGTAGCTCCAGATAATTCTAGTCACACATAACTTCTACATTGCTTAAAGAGTCAAGGCTGAGGTTGCATTCAAGCTACAAATCAACAACAGACCTACATACCATTTAACTTATTTAAACAGTATGTCCGTGCTTTAAGATTTGCGTAAGTCTTCAGCAGACAGGAAGGTGTTACCCTAAAGTGTTACCTGTAATCAAAAAGGCACTAGGTAATAAAACTCAACAAAACACACTGTTTAGCCTTTTAGCTCAAAACTATGAAAAGAAAGCATGATTTTAGCTCAATCAGGTCACTTTTCTGAAAGAAGCCAACACTAATTACAAGAATTACAAATTCTTTTGAAAAGATCTAGGCAATGCAAATAGAAGCCTCCATTTTTGCAAAATCTTAGTAACAGGATGAACCACTGCATTAAGCAAGGGGGTGTGTGTGCATACAGGATCTTTGCTATCTTGTCACAGGATCTTTCCTTATATCCTAAAGTCTGTGTTGATATGTACATGTAGATTTTGCCTTGGCAGAGGTAAGCAGGAGGACAGAAACAAGCTGAAGCTATACGCAGAGGAGAGAGGGAAGCTCTAGGACAGCCAGTGAAAACTACAGCAAGACTGTGAAGTCCTAAGACTCCAGGCTGCAATCCCACAAGCAGCTGAAGCGATCTCACATTACCATTGATCTCATCCCCTGTTCCTTCCTGCTATGAACCAGCTACTCTCTCCCCAGCTTCCCTCACCCAGGCTACATGTCCCACCACCTCCTTTGCATCAGCTTTGCGTGCTTAGGGGATGCTTCCATGCATGAATTCAAAAAACAGACCAGGAGGGAACTGTATCCCTTTTTCCTGATGGGTTAGTGGTTCATGGAGGGGTCTGAAACACTTCCCGAGAGCTGAGAAACAAGGCTTTTGCGTCACAGCAACTGCCTGAAAGAGCGGATGCTACGCATAGTGATACAATTGCTAAATTTTCACCTTTCTGTGTCAAAAGAATTAAGACGTGGGGCTAAAAATGTCCCTGGCATCAGGGTCTCCTCCTCAATGATGCAATCAACAGCATTGGTGGAAAGAAGTATTGCCACCTGCCTTTTGCCCCTCTAAAAGTGAAGGCAGGAAGTCATTCAACAACTTCCATGTACAGAAGACATGTTTTGTTGGTATTAAAAGTTACCATTCTTTAGTTTGTTTAATAAGGGCAAAATTACTCATTAGAATGGAATGTGTAGGACCACCTCTGTTTCTGAGTTTTGGGAAGAAAAAATAACCATTAGAACATCTAGCTCATTTTGCAGGGAATAATGGTGATTGTGACGTTCCTGCTTATCAAACAAAATTTGTATTGCACAGAAGCGACTGCATTTCATTCACTCGCATGATTCCACATCCTCTTACAAAGGACCAAACATAGTCTGAATGTAACTGAGATGACAGTCTAAAAGGACATGGTTTCCTGAAAAGGCTGAGCATCCCTCCTTGAAAAACTGGCTCCTTTTGTAAGGTCTTGACTTGGACTCCTATGAAACAGAATTATCCAAAATCTTCAATTGCTTTTGAACTGTCTTTAAAACACTTTGTTTAAAATTATTTTTAATCTTGTTTTTTTAAACTGTGATTTTAAGTAGGCTGAGCCTAAGCAAGCTTCTAGACTTTCTTGCCTCCCCAATAGAGTATGAGAAACAAAAGTCTAAGGTGAAAAATTAGGAGTGGCCAATGGCATCCAGAAACTTACTTTCTATGCCCAGATAGAGCCACCACAAGAACAGTTTCGCTGCTGCAAAGAAGGCAAGCTTACCAACCACAGACTACTTTCTCCCCCCTAAGTAAACACAAGATCCTTCACTGCCAGACACATTTCACAGTAATCCTTTTCACCAGATGACACTGTCTGTCATACAGCATGAGAGTACATGAGAAACAAGAGATAGCTGACGTCCTGGCACATAACCATGCACTCGGATTGCTGGACTTGGACACAAGCTTATTGTAATTAAAGCAAGCTGCTTCTGGAAAATACCTCTGCCCTCCCCATCAAAATAGTCTTAAGAGCCTACATCATTAGAAAAGAGAATAGGAAGAGGTCTCAGAACAAGTAATAAGCTTAGGGTCATACACTTTGTTAGCAGAGTAGCAGAAGGTCCAGGCATCACCTTTCCTTTCTCCTTTGCTATCTGAAAGTTCCATGCACGCTGTCCTTCCACCTCCTGTATTCTAGACAGCCTCCTTTCACAGTTCTGCTCCTTGTTCTTGTCTTTCAAAATCCAAGCATAAAAGCTGCATAAAGTTATATTCGCTCCTCCTCTAGGGTTCCCTGTTCCTTTTTCTCATACCATGGACTACCAGTGTGCTTCACTGCCCTCCTCTTCCTCTTCTAGATCCACCATTTGTACTTTTTCCCCTGTCAGAGATTAGCTGCTTAGCATACCCATATTTTGTACTGCAACAGGCAGAGCTGTGGCTCCAGTGCTGGAAAGGGTTATTGGCTGCCATCACCAGCTCTTTGAACTATAGATAGCCTTGAAGCATGTGCTAACCAGATGTGACAGACTCCATGTGTTCTCAGTCTCCACTTCCCTGTTCTGCTTTTCCAGCAGTCTCTGGGAAAATCTCTGTCCTTCCATCTGCTGATGCTGAGGAGATGCTTGGAGAGTTTGGAACCCATTGGCCATGGGATGCGAAAACTATTGTACTGCATGAATGAAATGAGAAACACTCTCAGGTCGAGGACATGAGCTCATTTAAAGGTACTAGAAGCACAGAGGCCCCAGGTGTTGACGGCAAGCTAGTTAGCAAGCAGAAGGCCAGGGCAGCAGTTCAAGAGAAGGTTACGTGGTGAATGTTTCCTGTGGAAGATAGGACACTCCTACTCCCCAGACACCATTCTCAGCACACTGGTGAAGCTGGAAGTGTGATACATCTCATGTGTCACAGCTAAAATTCTAGCACCAGGAATGGGGGAGATTTAGGGAAGGACATGGAAACATTTAAAATAAAGAATACATGTTTAGCTGGATCTCCCTTTTATGTTTAATTTCAAAGCACAGTACCCTTCATCAGAATTTGAAAGGAGCGATATTTAGGAAGAGTTTTGCTGCTATTGGGTAGAAAAAGAAAAAAAAAACAAACCCATGGCCAAACACACTGAAGGTATAATCAGCGGGGATAGAGAGATGTCTGGCACCACACGGCTAGAAGTGATGCTAAGATGCTCTGCATCTCTTCGTTTCTAGGACCATGCCAGGTCTAGGACAGGCTCCTGCCCTAATTCAGAGGTGTCCCACTGTGACTTCAGGTAATGACTGCCTGCCCACAACTCACAGGGCAGTTTCGACAACCAGGGACAGAAGGTATCTGCCTGTACCCCAGGAATGATTACAGACATGAAGGTGCTGTGCCATCTAGGGATTTCTTTGGTTGTTTACAGCTGCTCAGCCTAATGTAGAGCAGACAAAAAGGGACGAAGGATCTATTCTAGGCAAAGAGCTGGATATACTCAGAGTTATTTTACATCAAAAAGGTACCTTGAAAAAAATAACTATAATTCCAGGCTGATTGTTGGCATCCAGACACAATTCTGCTTGCCGCCCTTCTACTGCCCAGTGCAGTAGTTATTGGTTAGAAAGAGAAGGAGGATGTTTTCTGAAGAATCAAACATAAGCGTTACATGCCACCCTAAATTTGTTTATTTGAAAGGACAGATTTCCATGGCAAAGCACTGCAATTCTTTGAAGAGGAATAAATGATAAGTAAAACAAAGTCAGATAAAGTTCACTTCACATTTTTTCATCTCCTTCAAAACAGTAGTATAACTGTTTTCCGTGAGATCATGCAGAAGCTATTGGTAAATAATTTAGCCAGAATTTTAAGAAGCAACTCCTTAATGGCTCACAAACCATTCCTATTCTGCAAAATGTCTGGACAATATCTAACCAAAGAGCGTGCACTAATTTGGAAAGCTTTTCCTCTGAATGACAAGAGCCAATAAGTATTCTGTAAAAAATTGCAAGTGAAAAATACTTTAGTGCTTGCAGAGCTTCCCAACTGGCAGAACAGTCACCTGAGGACGCTGGGAAATCCAGTTCAAGCCCCACTTGCAGCTCTCTGTATATTCCTTAATTGGCAAATAATATCTGTTCACTTAAAGCTGGTGTATACAACTGATTTCTTCTCTCTTCCCTAGATTTTTCACTTACTCTAAGAAAAGTAGATATGTTGCTGAAGAGCATGTTGTGTGCAGCTGTCAGAGAAGCATTTCCAGCTGTGCATTTATTTTGCTGATCCTGGTTAATTTGGCTAAGACAGGAATTCCTGAGTGGTGAACTGCTTTTCTTTTAATACTACACCTGTATGCAAATACTAGATTCATGTCCATTCATGTGTTCATTGCTTTTTGCAGGGATTTTATTTCAAATTCCCAACTCAAGGATAATCTCTCCCTGCAGAAAAAAAACCAAACATTGCTACAAGCATGACAAAATATTTCTTTACTAGAACGTTAACAAGGTTTTGAGTGCTTCTAAGTCAAGGGATTTTTCAGTCCGAGGGAACAGAACAACGCTGTGGCCCCACATGCAATTTTCCTTTCAAAATGGCTACATGCTGTAGATGCCCATAATTACAATATTTAGCTGTATTTCACTATTTTCTGCATATACATACAAATACATTCTTCTTTCAGCTCAGATGAAAAGATTAGCTGTTTGATCCGTGATGAAGAGAGATCTTCTTGGTTTATATGAAAAGCGTAGATGAAGGCAAAGGTTATGAAATTTAAGTGGTGGTGGATGCATGAGTAAAAATGTTTTTATTCTCATGTTGAAGCCTCCAAGTCA